ATTTCAAGGAAATATATCTTGTCCCATTCACTGACGGGATGCCCACAGTCAAAGTTTCACCCTCGTACATGGGGTGATGGGGAAAAAAAAGATCCAAAATAAAAATAGAGAGAGTTGATTTTCTTTCGTTTTCTAAGATTTACCCAATCTCAACTAACAGTTAGTGTACATAATAAAACCTACTTCTAACATTTTTTTCCATTTATATAATTTGTCAATCATCCAATAACATTTCAGAAACAAGCATTCGTTATCCAATTATATGCAATGATTGACGTTGCCCAGTACTGCACAGAGCTGGGAGGTCAAAAACTAGCCATCAGCAGTATCGCACATAGTCCGAGACCTATAACATAAATTTAGAGTTCTGCATTCGTTCGTCATGCCCATTAAACCCAGCTTAATAAAAAACTGTTATATTTTATAAGATTTGTAATGAAAATATATGAGTTTAATATATTGCACATTAGTCATACTTTTTCAACTCCACTTATTTTGTCTAAAGTACTTTGTGAAGTAGAGTAAATCTTTCTCTAGTTGCATGTCAGCAGATGATTTTGATATTGTCTTAGTCATTTTTTTGGCGTGCTCATAAGAATAACAGACGCAGTTACATTAATCTGTGTCAGTGCCTTGAGATAAAGGAACATTCCAATTTTTGAAATGCATTAGACCATTGGTTCCCAAAGCAGTCCTCATAGCCCACCAACAGTCCATGATTTATATATTTCCCTGTTTTATTTCAATGGAGATACTGACAAAACCTGGATTGTTGGTTTGGGAAATACTGCATTAGGCAATATACAAGAACATAAAAACATTTTTTTTTTTTTAAATGTTAACAAATTACTGGAAACTCATCAACATCAAGGACGTGACTGACCAATTTCTAGCCACTTAGTGCTTTCCCATAAGTTTGTTTAGAGGTGTTACTGAGCACTCTTATTAAACTTGCTGCCATAATGCCTGTGATTTCAAATAAATACACACGTGATGCTCATGACATGCGCACCGTCGTATCTATGGCATATTTAATAACCACTTACCCTAAACCCCAAAAAACACAGACACCGGTTTAGACTGTTGGAAAATTATTTGTCTACAGCTTTATTAAAATATATAATAAATTATAAAAAATAGGGTCATTGCCACAAAACCATCACAGCATTTAAAACCACAATCCCCCTGTACATAAGAAACCCCTGGCAACATACTGATTCTAGGCGGAGACCTTAATGTCTCCCTTGACTCTATCCTTGACACCACTTCAGGACTACACTTTATCAAGCCTCCACATGCAAGAGATGTGCGCATCTCTTAGACCAAGCAAACCTCTTTGACTGCCGAAGAACTACACACCCACACACTAAAGATTACGCGTGTTACAGAATTGACATGCTGTCCCTCCCTCATAAGTTCTTTCAATTGGTAGAATCCTGCACACGTGGACCAATCACATGTTCTGACCATGCGCCCCTGTCTCTTGCCATTCGGGTCCCGTTCCTCCCTCTCAAATTATTCCAGTGGAAACTGAATGATCTTTCAATGAATGACCCAAAAATGACCTCTCAAATTAGGACGACTCTCCAACATTATTTCCAAGAAAACACGTCCCCAACCATGTCAACCACTTGTACCTTGTCTCAGTAGAGTAGAGACGGTGGAAGCCAGATTTAAGAGAGTCAAGGAGAGAGTTGGAATTGAGAAAGTGAGACATACGGGTAAAGACAAGTCTTTCCAGAAGCTTTGAGGAAAAAGGGAGCAGGGATATAAGACGATAGTTAGAGGGAAAGGCCTGGTCAAGAAATGATTTTTCAGGATAGGTACTACAGTGGCATGTTTAAGGTCAGCAGGGACAACGCTAGAAGAGAGAGAGCAGTTGAAGATGTGTGTTAAGGAAAGCACAAGACAGGGCAGGAGAGATCAGGTGAGCTAGGACACGATCGAGTGGGGAAGTGGTGGGGCAAGAGAAAAGGAGAAGCGCAGCCACCTCTTGTTCAGTAGTCAGGGAGAAAGTCTGAAGGGTAGGAAAGGCATGGCAAGGTTGGGAGAATTCTTTTCTTAGCTGTTCAGTCTTGTTGGTAAAGTAGCATGCAAAGCTATCAGCTGTAAGGTTCGTTTAGGGGGTGGCCACAGCAGGGTGAAGAAGAGAGTTAAAGGTGTCAAAGAGAAGCCTGGGATTGCGGGAGCATGAACTAATAAGAGAGGAAAAGTATGACTGTTTGGCGAGGGCAATGGATGAGCTATATGAACACAATATGAATCTATAATGGAGAAAGTCTGACTGGGTGCGAGACTTCCTCCAGGAGCGTTCAGCACAATGGTCTGACCATGCGCCCCTGTCTCTTGCCATTCGGGTCCCGTTTCTCCCTCTCACATCATTCCAGTGGAAACTGAATGATCTTTGCAGGTAGCGTGTTGATTTAGTATATGTTTTAAATTTCTGTAACCTAGCTACACCTGCCAATTCTGTTACTGCAACCCTTGTTACTGTACCAATTTACCACATACTAATTGTACTGCAGTCTTCGTTCTGATGCTTGTTATTGTCTCAACTTGCTGAACACAATCAAAAAAAAAAAAAAAACCCTGGCAATGACCCAAACATAAACAATAAATAACAATATAAATAACATTACACGTCTGTCCAAATGACCCCATTTTAAACTGATTAAACTGCCAGGGTGTACCGAGACACCCCTATACCCTCAGGTTTGGAGCCACCGATGAGCTCGGACCTATCAACCAGCTGTAAACTCCTCCTTGAACCACACTAAACCTATCCATTCCCCACTTCCTACTCCATGTAGCTCCTAATTTAACCTGGCCATTCCCCACCGCTGCGAAGAAATGGGAAATAACTCTTTACTTACCCCTAACCTCCCCAGTATCAAACAAAAAAGGAAGGGTGGGAGGGAGGGAGGGACAACTTACAGGTAAGTGTAGGTTTGATTAAAATGGCAACTTCTTAAAATGGCCAAAATATATATGGCAGATGTCACCCCCCCTCTACTCCCTTATCTGACCAATTAAATACAATAGC